AATAGTAGAGTAGTGGGGGATTTCAACTTTCCAAACATCGACTGGGAGCGCCATGGAGTTAAGGGATTGGATGGTGAGGAATTTGTTAAACGTGTACAAGAAAAATTTATTTATTAATATGCAAATGTACTAACTAGAGCAGGAGCAAAACTTGATCTTCTCTTGGGAAATAAAACAGGGCAAATGACTGAAGTGTTAGTGGGGAAGCACTTTGGGACCAGTGGTCATAATTCTGTCAGTTTTAAAATAGTTATGGAAAAGGATAGATCTTGTATAAAATTTCTTAATTGGAGCAAGGCAAATTTTGATGGTATGAGATAGGAATTTTCTAGAGTTGATTGACATAGACTGTTTGCAGGTAAAGGGACAACTGGCAAGTGGAAGGCTTTTAAAAGTGAGATAATGAGAGTTCAGAGGCATTACGTTCCTGTTAGATTGAAGGGTAAGGCTAGTAAGAGTAGGGAACAATAGATGAATAAAGATATTCAGGCTGTGGTCAAGAATAAGAAGAAGTCATCTATTAGGTAAAGACAGCCAGGATCAAGTGAATCTCTTGAAGAGTGTAAGGGGTCAGGAGGGTGGCTAATGATGTGCATTTATTTAAGAAAGGCTGCAAGGAGAAGCCTGAGAACGAGAGGCCTGTGAGTCTGACAGCAGTGGCAGTCAAGCTATTGCAGGGGATTCTGAGAGATACGATTTAGATGCATTTGGAGAGGCAAGGCTTTATTAGGGATAGTCAGCATTGCTTTGTGTGTGGGAAATCATGTTTCACAAACTTGAGCTTTTTGAGCACGTAATGAAAAGGATTGATGAGGGAAGAGTGGTAGATGGACTTTAATAAAGCTGTTGATAAGGTTCCATGTGATAAATTAATTAGTAAAGTTAGATCACATGGGATTCAGGGAGGGCTTGCCAATTGGATACAAAATTGGCTTTATGGTAGGAGACAGAGGGTGGTGGTGGAGGGTTGTTTTTTGGACTCAAAACCTGTGACCAGTGGTGTTCTGCAGGAATTGGTGCTAGGTCCACTTTTGTTTGTAATTTATATAAATGATTTGGATGCAAGTTTAGGAGGCATAGTGATATAGTGGACAGTGAAGAAGGTTATCTACGATTACAAAGAAATCTTGATCAATAGGTCCAATGGGCTGAGGAGTAGCAGATGGAGTTTAATTTGAATAAATGTGAGATATTGCATTTTGATAAAACAAACAAGGGCAGGACTTATACAATTAATGGTAGGGTCCTGGGTAGTGTTGTTGAATAGTGAGACCTAGGGGTTCAGGTACATAGTTCTTTGAGAGTTGCATCACAGGTAGACATGGTGGTTAAGAAGGCATTTAGCACGCTTGCCTTCATTGCTCAGACCATTGCGAATAGGAGTTGGGACGTCATGTTGAGTTGTACAGAATGTTAATGAAGCCACTTTTGGAGTACTGTGTGCAGTTCTGGTTGCCTGCTATAGGAATGATATTATTAAATTGGAGAGGGTTCAGAAAAGATTTATCAGGATGTTGCCGGGACTGGAGAATTTGAATTATAAGGATGGGCTGGGTAGGCTGTGAATTTTTCCATTGGAGTGTAGGAGATCGAGGGGTGATCTTATAGAGGTTTATAAAAACATGAGAAGCATAGATAAGGTGAATAGCAAAGGTCTTTTCTCTAGAGTGGGTGAGTTCAAAGTTAGGAGGCATATTTAAGATGAGAGGAGAAAGATTTGAAAGGGGCTTGCGGGGCAACTTTTTCACATAGAGAGTGGTTCATCTGTGGGATGCCAGTGGAAGTGGTAGATGCAGGTACTGTTACAACGTTTAAAAGACTTTTGGTTAGGTACGTGAATTAGAAAGGTTTAGAGGGACATAGGCCAAATGCAGGCAAGTGGGACTAGTTTAGATTGGAAAACTTGGCCAGCATGGATGAGTTCAACCGGAGGGTCTCTTTCCATGGTGTATGAATCTATGACTCTGTAATAATGTCTGTTTTGAGGTTCTCAGCTCCGGGAGCTACTTTGGTGTTGAGAAGGAATCGCAGCTGAATGAAGAGTTAAAACGTCTAGCGAAACTTTGGAACAGTTGAAAGAAGGAGTACACTTCAAAATTTTGCTTTGTTTCATAGGCTTAAGTATGGACTCTTTGTCTGTTTTTATTTTCTGAAATTGTAACCAGGGTCACCATTGCAGTTTACCAAGGCAAAGGCAACAATACTTCTAACTTAGCTTTCTGCTTTGTGGGTTTCCAGAAGCTGATGTATCAGCTTCGGCAGGGAGCTTTCATATCTTTGCGCTGTCTCAGCAGCAGCCCAGAACCATTTCTTAGAAAATATCGTTCAATAAAACAACTTTAATTCTGGCTCCACCCTGATAGATTGACTTTTCATGAGACCTCAATTACCATTCAACATCTGTTCAACAGAGGGTCTCTTCCAGTCATGCCGGAACCAATTTCCAGGTACTGACCTCATTAATAGTCAACTTCTGCTATCTGTTTAAACTCTGTGCTCTTCCTAGAGTCTCTGTACCTTTTTAATCAAGGCTTAGCCTACAGTTAGCTGCTAGACCATAGTTTGCAAACAAACAAAGTTTGTTTGGTCTGTTCTTTTCCTTTTACCAAACTGTCCCAAAGTCCACAAGTCATTTCCAGCTTATAATTCAAAATTGATAAAGGAATAAAAGTAATGAAAAATCAGCAAGTACATTCCCCCCTGTACTCTGACTGGGTGGGGGGATGCATTGATTTAGCCGGTATTCTCCCTTTTCTAATGTCAATGTAAAATGACCATCAGTTGGAATTTTAGTAATGGAAATTGGCTATATACTTTCTAGGTGCAGGTTCTTCACTTTCAGTTCTATTGTCAAGCACACATCCCAAGGATTTTGCTGCCTATTTCACTGACACTGCCTCCACTGCTCTCTGGGGAATAGAATTTCGCAGACTTCATGAAACTATGAGGAATACAAAATCTCCGCATCTCCATCTTCAATGAGCGATCTCTTACTTTTAAGTTTTGACCCTGCTTCTAGTTTTTCCCACAAGGACAAACTTTAGTATTAGATTAGGCAAGTCAAGTCTCCTCAGGAGTTTATGCTGGCATTGAAGGCAGTGCAGAGCAGATTCACTGGGCTGATTCCAGGTATGGGGAAGAGGTTGAGTTATAATGGGCTTGTAGTTGTTGGAATATAGAAGAATGAGAGGTGACCTGATTGAAACATGCAACATTCTAAGGGACCTGAGACAGGCTAAATGCAGTTGTTTCTCCTTGTGGGCGAGTCTAGGACCAGAGGGCGTAATCCCAGAATAAGGGGGTCTCCCATTTAAGACAGATGAGGAGGAATTTCTTCTTTCGGAGGGTTGTTTACCACAGAAGCACGTAGAGGCTGGGACATTAAGTATGTTCAGATGGATTTTTAACCAGTAAGGGAATCCAGGGTTATGGGGAAAAGGCAGGAAGGTGAAGTTGAGGATTATCAAATCAGCCATGATCTCATTGAATGGTAGAGCAGACTCGATGGGCTGAATGGCCTGCTTCTGTCTGTATGTCTTATGATGCTATAAAAATACAAGCTATTTTGCTTTTTTCTCTGTATTAGATTTGATTGAATGACAGTCATTTCATTTCTTCATCTGGACATTGCAGTTAACAGGAGTCTGTAGTATTAATTTGCTACAAAACATGAAAAATGGATGAGTACCTGAAATAGGATTCCTCTTCTGCACATCTTGCTAGCATGTGCATTGGGTCTCACTTGCTGTTAAAGTGAGGATCTAGGAAGTTTAGTAAGGGCAGGAAACCTATACCCTTCTGTTATGTACCATCACACTTTAAAACTGTATTTCACTATCAACTAATTTACAAGAAAATACTGACTGAGAATTCATGGGTTCCATTCCTGGCAGTTATGCCAAGATTGTACAATTGATTTTCTCTAGTGTTATTCTTTCTGGAGTTTGGGGAAAATGAAGGAGCACCTTATTAACATAGACTTGTCAGTGGCCAGAATGCTATGTCTACCTGCTTACCCAGTGTAACTAGAATCTGCCAGTTATTTGGGAGTGGGGTTTTGGGATGGTCTAGGATACAATCCCAAAATCTCATTTGTTGCTCTCTGTTAAATGGGACTGACACTATGCTACCTTAAGGGATGCACTTTTTATCCCTGCCAGATTGGCATCCCTTTCCCTACTCCCCTGATTTGTGTCTTCCTAAAGGGAGGTGCATCATGTGACTTAACCAAGAAGGGTCCCGACCCGAAATATCGACTTTCCTACTCCTCCTTTGCTGCCTGACTTGCTGTTTTCCTCAACACTGTGTTGATTCTGACTCCAACATCAGTAGTTCTTGGTATCTTGGTTTCTAAGTTGGCTCCATTAGGGGTCAGAGAAACTAGAGTTCACAGCACAGAGAGTTCTGGCTTTATCTCCTTCAATTTCAGGTCTTGGCATTCCTGAACCTTTCCGAAGGGAGTTCACCAGAGTTACAGTGGGAATCAAGCAGAAAGGCTGAGGAAATTTGAATTTGATCAAATCAGTTGCCCCTTTTGAAGTGTGAATTCAAAAAAAGTAACTCAGAAATTGGGGAAGGCTTCTGTCCTGTGAAACTACTTATTTCACTGTTTTCATCTGTTCCCCTTTTAGCTTAGCCATCCCATCCCCCACCTCGCCTTTCATTGTTGTCTCTCTCTCTCTGTTTTTTCTCTCTGTTGCACTGATGAAACCTAATGATTAGCTGCAGCTAATTAGCTAATGATTATGATCTTATAATTTCTGTCTCCTTCCCAGATTTACATCAAATATTACATACCTTTAGCACTTCACTTGCAAAACGCTTACACAACAGATATATGTTTGATCATAGCCTCCTCATCTCGTTTGAGATTCCAGCATTATTATTAGGAGAGAGAATTCTCAGGCAACCTTGTCAAAATTAAGTTTAATGATAAATATACTTTAGTTTACCCTTTTCTTTGAGTTCCCCCTATTTAAGATATGTTTTTGTTTTAACAGGAATATGAAAGATTGGAACAGGAAAATACTGCTCTAAAAAGGGAAATAAGGAAACTTAGTGAAGAAGTGAAACATTTATCAGAAGCTTTGAAAGATCATGAACGCATTTGTCCACTGATACAGTGTGCCATGAACTTTGTCACAATGCCTAGGCCTCACTCAGATGGACTTCCCAGCTGTTTACCACGTCCTGGTCAAAGTGAAGTCTCTTAAATGGCACTGAAATTGCAAAATTTAATTTTATCACAGAAGATTCTGATACATTGTCAAATGTTTGAATGTGTTTGATTTTTTTTTGTAAATAGAGAGTCGTGAGGACATTATTTATGAGATGTTGGACCATATTATGAACTGATGCTGCTGTGATCCTGTGCACTGTCATGCCAAATCTGAAGACATAGACACACTTATAGTGACGTGAGCAATGTGCAGTATGGTGAGACTTGTGGATGAGTACGACAAGAAGTCAGCAAATCCGAAAATGGTGTTGCAAGCAATTCATTATATCTTTTATGTATCTCCAGAGCGGTGTGGCAAGTTTCTCACTAGACACCAGTGGATTGCTAATTAAAGGGATTATTAAGTGCCTTGTTATGCCACAGTTCACTTCATTAATATTCAGCTTCCTCTCTTACCTAAATACATTGCACTAGGGAGGTCAGAACGGGTATTTGACAACTTCAGCTTGCTACTTGGCGGCAATATCTCAGGGCACTCTCTAAGCACCCTATATCCACAGACATTGGCATCCAATATGTGCCAACCTCTATGAATGTTAATGACACACCTCCAACTCACTTAAAAAATACTTCAGCACTTCAGTGCTGCACCTCAGGTTGCAATGCTGCTACAGGGACACTGCATTCAGGGACTAGCAGCCATCTCATGGACCAGACCTGGCTGCATCTCCGGACTGTGTGCTTGTTGTCACAGTGATCACTTGCTCTGAGCCTCTCTGAATGCTGTTGGTATCCCAGTCTTGCATTGCTTTGCCTTCCCTTTTTGCACTGTGCCCCCTCAGCCAGAGATACCAGGTTTACGGTGCAGCTATATTGCCTTGCCACTTAGTGCAGACACAAAGTCAGAAAAACTGTCATGGATATCAGCAGTCCTCAGTTAAGACAAGGGTGGTAGCTTTCCCTCAGAGTGTCTCAGAACAGTAAGTTAAGGGCACCCTTCGAAACCAGTCCAGGGGCTTGGTCAGGGTCAATCAGCCACTTGGAGCTGTCAGGGTCAGGACACTTGCCATGCAAAAGGTGAGAAGCCAAATGTCAGGTAGGTCACCACCCATCTTGACTCTTTCTGCCCTACTGTGGGCTGTTTTCCTCCTGGATTGAGAGACAGAGATTAATGGAGATGAAAGTGGAAAGCACAGTTGTGGGGAGGGAACACAGGGCTAGTGCTTTCAGGGGTTGGAATGGTCGAGAGCAAGCGAGTGAGGGAACATGTTGCAGGCAATTGTGAGAGTGGCAGAGCCTTGATGGGCTTGAGTACAGTGACACAGTGAGTGTATGGTATCCAAGGGAAAATGGTAGCACTTACACTGGCCATGTGGAGAAGGACCTTCCTTCTGGGCATTCCGCCAGTCAGCTGAGACTGCACTACTCAAGCCAGAGCAGTCTGGAATGGTCTGCTATTGTGGCTTCCTCTGCTGGTCCTGGAGGAAGAGGCCTGTGAACCACCCCCATCCAGCAGGACGTACAGGTCCCTTCCCACAATGTGGGTGCCCACTTTCCGTTGTCTACCATGTCCAAGGTACATGTCAGGAACCATGCAGGGCAGATCGCACTTGACGCGCTTGTCCTGGTGCACAGCAGCTTTTTATAGGCCCCAGTGCCAGGAATGCTTGTCAATTCTGGGATATCCTGGGAGTGGCAAGTTGTCCTATGAACTGTGCCAAGTAAGATAGGGCTAGAATTGGACGAGAGGGACGTCATAGGGGCAGGGTATGTAGTTGATGAGGCTATTTTGGTAAGACACGGTAAGAAATTTTGCTAGACTATAGTAAAAAACCCACCAAAAAATCTCAACACAGTTGGCACTTTGCCAAAAAGTATGAAATTCAGCCCATAAATTTTTTTTTATTTTGCATATTGTTCGGGGAATATGTGTATAATGCTCCTCTCAAATCAAATGCTATAAGATCCTTAGCAGTTGGATAGTCACGTAACCGAAACCTGGCACGCATCTTAATTTTAAACACATCCGCACAAAGGCAGGCCAAGAGAATATAATAATTGGTTACACAATTTAACAAGCTTTGTAGTGAACAGTAAGAAAGTCAGCTTTTTGAGAGAAACATTCTGAAATTTTGCATTTGTTTAGTAAAGCTTTGCATCCCCAACACCTTGCCCCTACGCTTCCCTTTTAGCTGTATTGACATCGTCATAATTTTTGAAACCAGCAAGTAGTAAAGTCTGTTCTGTCCTGAAACAAAAATAAAACTGACCAAATACAAAGTTATATTTCTTGTGGCTACTCATGCCAGAGTTTTGAACTCTGTGGGAGTTTCATTTCCTCTAAAAGGTGAAGAAAGCTCAACATCATATCCTACACTAAATGAAGAAACAGCACATAACTATGTCCACAAAACAAAAAATAACAATTCTTCACCTCAGTGATAGGTTCTTGCATCCATTAAGAGAAAATTCAGATGAACTGTAAAGTATTCATACGATGACATTTTAGGGTCCAAATGTTTATCTGTGACATATTATGAAGACTTACACTTTTTTGTGGTTTCTGAAAGTAACTAATGGCTTAATCTTTAAACGTGGTTGTTGTACGTCTCAAATCTTGAATCTCCATGGTTTTTTGATACTCCTTTAATTATTGCTGTTCTGTGATTGTTTTTGTTTTGAACAATGAACATGTGTCCTCTGTTAAAGACAGGTGATCGGTAACCATTGTGGTACATACAGTCTATCTTAATGTTAGTGAATGCTTAACTGATGAAGAGTACATCTGGTGACAGAAAGTTAGACACGTTAAAATTTCCCTTTCTTTTGCTTTTATCTCACCTTCCCCAAAGCATCAAGTCACTCACATACAATCACAAAGATTTTGCAAATTAAAAAAATAAAAAAAATTTGGTGCAAATGACTGGTGAATGTTTGAGTGAAATGCTCAAGCCAAGACAAGAAAGATAGACTTAAAGCTAATTAGAAGGTATGAGAGCTGGTTAAGGTTGGTTGGATAAGTAGACTAAAAAATATGGTAATAAATGACAAATAATATAAAATGTTAAATGAAAAATGTATTCCATTTTTCCGTACAAAAAAGTAAACCAATTGATGTGATTTATGTAATTTCCAAAAAGAAATTGATGAAGTGCAATTAAAAAGGCAGATATGCAAGATAAGAACTCATGGAGTTCGGGTAATATATTAACTGGGATGGAGACTTGGTTAACGAACAGGAAGTGTAGAGTCAGCATTTGCTGCAAGGGGGTTAGACTAGAGGAATAGGGATGTCTTGCTCCAAATGTCAAAGGCTTTGGTGAGATTACACCTGGAGTACTGTAGGCAGTTTTGGTCTCCATACCAAAGGAAGGATCTATTTACCTTGGAAGCAGTGCCGGCAAGTTTCCCTAAATGAGAGAGTCATTCTATTGAGATTGACTGCGTGAATTAGGCCTATAATCTCTGGAGTTAGAGAGAATGAGAGTTGGTACCATTGAAACATGCAGGATTCTGAAGGGCTTGACAGGGTAGATACTATGAGCATGTTTCTCCTTGCTGAGATTCAAGAATATGCTTCAGAAGGGGATTGATTACTTAGGACTGAGATGAGAAATTTCTTCACTCATAGGGTTGTGAACCTTTCAAATTTGCTACTCTAGGAAGTTATGGATGCAACATTTTTGAACATATTTAAGGCCAGGATAGATTATTGTGTTCTCTCAGGGATTCGAGCAATGAGGCTAATATGAGGAAGCAGAGCTGAGGCAGAAGATGAACCAAGTTCATATCAACAGCAAAGAAAGTTCAAGGGGCATATTGCTTCTATTTATGATGATTTATTTGAAAGAAGATCCATTCCCAAAGTAGCTGGCTTTCAAGCAAAAGATTATTTGTTTCTATACAATTTGTAACTTTACCAGACAATCTGAGTGAAGCAATTCATTTCTCCTGCCCTTGAGAGAATAATATATATATGTTAAAACATGCTGTGATCACTATAATTTCTTTTACTGATAAGTTGTTTTTCTCTATTTATCCAAATCACATTTCATAAGTATACAGTTACTCTGAGTCATAAATATTTGCTTCAACATGTTTGCCTGCAAATTAGGAGTTCCCTAAAATACCAGCCATTTTATTCCTACAATTAGAGTCCATTTCAGACAATTTGGAACCAGTATAGGTCCTGCCCAAGAAGTTAAGAATAATCTTGTCTAACTGGTAATGTGCTCACACCACTCCAAATTTCTGGCTTAACTAATCTGTGTCAATATTCATAACACTAGTTGCTGACTCAAACCTGTGTAAATTTGTGGTCAATGTAGATCTTCAGAAAATCAAATAAGAAACTCATGACAAAGGTCAGAAGGCATGGAGTGAGGCAACAAGTAAGACCACAAAATGCAGAGTAGAGTGTAAAGGAGGTTTTATCGGAGCAATTGAAAGTGAGGAGGTTTTCCAATGCTGTTCTGTTTGGTCTCCCCCATTTGAACTTCTACAACCCCCTACCCCCAATACCGCCCCAAGACATGGCGGAAGTGGTGTTCTGGAAAGCCAGCAGCAAAACATGAGTGTGTTCTAAGGAGTGCAGATCCCTAGAAAGGGTTTCAGCATTAGGTTAACATATGGATTTGCTTTCTATTAAGCAACAGCAAGTAGCAGATAAAAGTTGTAAGCAATACAGCCTTGACCTTAAAATGTTTAAAATTTGCAAATTATTCAAGACGTTTAAAAATGAAATTTTCCTGAGTATTATATATATTACAAAGTCGAATATTACCACAAAGCCATTCTCAACTACTTGCAGTGAACAACACAACTGTTATTAGCACTCCCTGCATCAAGAGGCCTTGCAGTCCAGCATCTCATGTAATTTTTGTTAATTATATTGGAACTGTGGCAGACCAGGCATTCAACATTTTTGTAATAGAACATAGAACAGTACAGCACAGTACAGGCCCTTCGGTCCACGATGTTGTGCCGAACTTTTACCCTAATCCTAAGGTCAATCTAACCTCCACCCCTCCCTTACACTATCATCCATATGCCTATCTAATAGCTGCTTAAATGCCCGTAATGAGGCCAACTCCACTACCCTCTCCGACAATGCATTCCACACCCTGACCACTCTCTGTGTAAAGAACCTACCTCTGACTTTTCCCCTATATCTACCTCCACTCACTTTAAAACTATGCCCCCTCATAATAGCTACCTCCACCCTAGGAAAAAGTCTCTGGCTGTCCATTCTTTCTATACCTCTGATCATTTTGTACACCTCTATCAAGTCACCTCTCATCCTTCTTCGTTCTGAAGAGAAAAGCCCAAGCTCTCTCACCCTTTCCTCGTAAGACCAACCCTCCATTCTAGGCAACATCCTGGTAAATCTCCTCTGCACCTTTTCCAACGCTTCCACATCTTTCCTGTAATGAGGCGACCAGAACTGGACATAATACTCCAGATGTGGCCAAACCAGGCTTTTGTATGTCTGGAGCATAACTTCACGGCTCTTGAACTCAATCCCTCTATTAATGAAAGCTAACACACCATATGCCTTCTTAACAACTCTATCCACCTGTGTGGCAGCTTTCAGGGAACTGTGGACATGAACCCCAAGATCCCTCTGCTCCTCCACAGTGCCAAGAATCTTTCTGTTAACCCTGTATTCTGCTTTCAAGCTTGCCCTACCAAAATGAATCACCTCACACTTTTCGGGGTTAAACTCCATCTGCCACTTCTCAGCCCAGCTCTGCATCCTATCAATGTCCCTTTGTAACCTAGAACAGCCCTCCGCACTATCCACAACTCGACCCACCTTCGTATCATCCATGAACTTACTAATCCACCCTTCCACTCCTTCATCCAAATCATTTACAAAAATCACAAATAGAAGAGGACCCAGAACAGATCCTTATGGTACACCACTCGTAACTGAGCACCATGTTGAATATTTTCTGTCCACTACCACCCTTTGTCTTCTAAGGGTCAGCCAATTCTGAATCCAATCTGCCACATTTCCCCTTATCCCATGCCTCCTTACCTTCTGCATGAGCCTACCATGGGGAACCTTATCAAACGCCTTACTTAAATCCATGTATACCACATCCACTGCTCTATCTTCATCCACGTGTTTGGTCACCTCTTCAAAGAATTCAATAAGGTTTTTGAGACATGATCTACCCCTCACAAATCCATGCTGACTATCACGAATCAAACTGTGCCTTTCCAAGTGATCATAAATCCTATCTCTCAGAGCCCTTTCCAATAATTTGCCCACCACTGACGTAAGATTAACTGGCCTGTAATTTCTGGGGTTATCCCTATTCTCTTTTTTGAGCAAGAGAATGATGTTTGCCTCTCTCCAATCTTCCAGCACTATACCCGTGGACAGTGAGGACGAAAAGATCATCGCCAAAGGCCCTGCGATCTCTTCCCTCACTTCCCATAGAATCCTTGGATAAATCCCATCAGGCCCGGGGAACTTATCTATCTTCAAGTTCCTCAAAATTCCTAGTACATCTTCCTTACTAACATCGAACTCCTCTAGCCTACCAGCCTGTTTCACACGGCCCTCCTCTACTGTCCCTCTCAGTTGTGAATACTGAAGAAAAGTATTCATTAAGGACCTCTCCTATCTCTTTAGGCTCCGTGCGCAAATTCCCTTTACAATCCTTGATCGGCCCTACTCTTTCTCTGATCATTCTCTTATTCTTCACTTACGTGTAAAAAACCTTGAAGTTTTCCTTGATCCTATCTGCCAAGGTTTTCTCATGCTCCCTTATAGCTCTCCTAAGCCCTTTCTTCAACTTCTTCCTGGATAACTTGTATCCTTCTAGAGCCTTTTCCGATCCTTGTTTCCTAAACCTTATATAAGCATCCTTCTTCCTCTTAACCAGTCGTTCAACCTCTCTTGAGAACCAAGGCTCCCTCACTCGACCGCATCTTCCCCTGCCTGCTAGGGACAAACATATCGAGCACACACACTATGCATTCCTTAAACAATCTCCACATTTCAATAGTGCTCTTCCCTGACAGCATCTATTCCCATTTTATGTTACCCAGTTCTTGCCTAACAGAATTGTAATTACCGTTCCCCCAATTATAAACCTTACCCGGCTGAATGTACCTATCCTTTTCCATGACTATTGTAAAAGTAACAGAGTTATGATCGCTACCGCCAAAATGCTCTTCTGCCAACAGCTCTAACACTTGGTCCGGTTCGTTGCCTATATTGTTAAACCTTTTTTTGTTTTAAAGATCTTTGTCAGGGCCACACCTCA